GGAGGAAAGGCTTGAAGATCTCCAAAGGAGCCGGAGAGAAGTAACCGAGGTATATATCCAGAAAATCATTTTACAGAAAATTACTGAATCATTACCTGTGAAACGTCAGGGACGTTGCTGAATAAGTATACTGGAGAATAACAGCATCATCACGCAGCACGTTATTGTTTTAGACAGGTCTGAGCATCCTGTACTCCAAAAACTGCAGTGATATTAGACAATTGTGTGTGTAGGATTAATTACCTGTCCAACAGAAAACTGGCAACTTCAGCGTCACTTTGAAAACCTTTTTCCTCCATCAGTGACTTCCATCGTGTAAATGCCGTGCCAATGTTGATCCGTGTTTTTTGTCGTTTCTTGTCACGCTTGCGTTTATTCTCGTCGTGTTTCCGCTTCTTAGATGACGGGGGTTCGGTGTCCGCCGCTTTTCGTTGTGATACAGAGTAGGCATGATCCTCCATTCGTCTGATGTTTGGCCACACAGTGCCAAACAGTTTGCAAAGTCACTCACGCCTGCCGCCTTGTTCACCTTTCTTGTTACTGAGGCGCAGTATACCTGCTTCTTCTTCTTCTTTGGTTTCAGGCAGACTAAACGCTTCTCAGGCATAATACTGCCATCTACTGTTCAGTACCGTCTCAGTTCATCTCTCTCAACTTGCCGTAGTTACTTTCGAGCGTCATGGGAGATCTCGCAATCGCTAGTTTGTTGCCTCTGCGCTGCCGTAGCGCAAAGATGTCTGCCTCCATGGCTGCGAGACCCGCTCCTATGTAATTATAAATAACGAATTCTAAGGCAACGCAAATATTATGGTTAAAAGGCTGAGCTCATAGGTGATGATAAATAACATAGTTATGTATAATATATTAAATTTCTGACTTTATATGCCTGTAATTATTACACACTGTAGCTTTAAACAAAAAACGTTAAACTCAGTTTAACAAATTCAAATTATCCATAGAGCTGCCACAGCCAGCACCGAGTGCAACTCTACCTGCCATCCTTGATGGCATTGTTTAATACGATCAGATACTGAATGTTTTGCCACTCAAAACTGTTGCTTTAAATCGTCATGCCACTCCTGCAGCTACCAAATACATTTTCTCTACTCCCTTACCCTCTGAACAACACATCTACAGTACCATATGTGGTTTCCATTGTTGACCATGAAACAAAGTTGATCACGTGGTTATATACAAAATGAAATTCATGACTTACTTGCATGAACCTGTCATGGTTGAATCTGTGTCTCTAGAGAGAAAACATAGGGTGGCACCTTAAGCACACAAATGCATAGGTGCAGCTGTGATCAATATATAAGGATCATCTCTCGGTCATGCTTATCCCTGCATATACGCCCCAGCTGATCAGGGCTAAACAGACAGTTAAAGAGGTCCGTATGTATATGATGGCACCAAGGAGAAACTCCAAGACTGTTTTGAATGCTCTGACTGGAACATCCTCAAGGCTGCAGCAACCTATGGCAACTTATTAAATATTGATAAGTATGCCATGACTGTGTCAGCCTATATTAACAAATGCATTGAGGACGTCAGCATCAAAAAGAACATCACCACCCGCACCAACCAACGACCGTGCCAGAAGATCCAGGATCTTGTCCACGACACCAGCACTTCAGTTCACCTTTTAACACCTTCATTCCACAGCATCTGATAGGAAAACTGGAACAGCTGGGCTTCAGTATACCCCTCTGGAATTGGCTGCTAGACTTCCTCACCAAAAGACCTCAGTCAGTCCGGGTCGGACAGATAACCTCTGATGTCATCATCCTAAGCACAGGCTCCCCTCAGGGCTGTGTACTGAGCCCCCTGCTGTTCACCCTGATGACACATTGTGAAGTTTGCTGAAGACACCACGGTGGTGGGCCTCATCAGAGACGACAACGACCTGGACTACAGAAAGGAGGTGGAGCAGCTCGTGGGCTGGTGCAGACAACAGTCTGATCCTGAACATGGAGAAGATGAAGGAGATCATCTTGGACTTCAGGAAGAATCAGCCTGACCACGCTCCACTGCTCACCAACAGCTCAGCTGTAGAGGAGGTCAACAGCACCAAATTCCTGGGGGTGCACATCACAGACACCCTCACCTGGACTGTAAACACCACCTCACTGATCAAAAGGGCACACAAGCGCATGTACTTCCTGAGGAGGATAAGGAGAGCCACCTGCCCCCATCCATCCTCACCTCCTACAGAAGCACCATAGAGAGCGTTCTGACCAGCTGTCTCACTGTGTGGTGAGGAGGCTGCAGCATCGCAGACTGGAAGAAGGTGAGAAGAGTGGTGAGAAAAGCAGAGAAGATCACGGGGCTCCTCTTTCCTCCATAAAAGACATTTTATCCCAGCGCTATGTGTCCCCAGCCCATAATATCATAAAAAATGACCCCTCACACCCCCACCATGGACTGTTCTCCTTGCTGTCCTCTGGGAAGAGGCTTCGAAGCAACCGATGTAGGTCCAGCAGAATGCAGAACAGTTTCTTTCCCACTGCCATTAGACTGCTAAATTTTTATGTAAAACGGAAAAAAAAAAAAAAACTGAATGTTGGAACTGTACAGTAAGTATACAGTCAAATGTGTACATCATTTTATTTTTGATCACAATGTTTGTATCACTGCTGCTTACCTTTATCAAGGCTGCACTTTCAAAATAGCATTACTTTTCTTTATGGCCATAATGTAACCGATTAGTTTCATGCCAGTCAGGAACAACTGATGCTTCACTTTTTATCACTCTGCTACAAATATGACTTCTACTAGGGACAATCATAGCTAGCCTAGTAAACTAGCCCCACCCACCAGCGGCCAAAATAATTTTTGCCTGAGAATTTGGTCTAGCCTCCATCAACGCCCTAGGCCCTAGAACTGGCGGGCCAATCACAAAGCAGTGATGTGTTTTGAATTTCTGGATGTAAAGCGGGCGGGGTTTTGAGGGCGTGACGACAAAGCTGCACGACGCTGGAAAAAGCACAACAAGGAAGATGGCAACAGCTATTGAACAGTAGCATGCACTGCAGCAGCAGCTTTCAGTGGAGCGTCACTATATGGTCCATTTACCGATGTAATGCGTAATTTAAATTTTTTTTTTCCGAATTTGAGAGGACCACGGCAACCAGCGGAGCTCCGAGGCCCTCTCTCGGCATAGTTGTGTCTGAAGGACCGCTCGTTCGGATGGTGATTTTTGACTGAGCTTTGGAATCAGTTTTGGAAGGATTAGACTTGGGGTTTTCATTGGAACGTGAGCAGGAAGAGGCTCTATTCATTCCTTTTTAAGAAGGACGTATTCGCCGTTTTATCGACAGGCTGTTTGTTTATACTCCCTAACCAGCTTCCTGTCGCACTTCGTACGTCACAGTCAGTTGCGCTCATTGGTCAGAGCGTTGGCCAATAGGCACAGACATGGTTTGAAAAACAACAGGTTGTTCTAAATTAGACATTTTATCTCACATTTAGTCTGGTTTATCAGGCTAAATCATAGCTGCTTTGAAAAAAAAAAAAAGTTTCCTTCCGATTTGATTTTCTAATAAATTGAAGTCAACTTTTTATACATTTAAAGTATTTAACCCAAACCTGGGACCTTTGGCTTGAATTTAGGAAGTTCCTAATGTGCAAGCATGGGTTCCTATTGGGTACTCTTGAAATACATCACAGTTAGGTTCACTACTGTACATGTTCCCCTGTGATTAACTGGCAACCTCTCCAGAGTGTATCTCTTCTTGCTCATTAACCAATGACAATAGGCACGAGCCTGACTTCAACACATAAAAACAGTTTAAAGTATATGTATCTTTTTCTTCTTGACATTAGTGTGCGATCACTGAATTACTAATGATTATAGTTGTCATTGAAAAACCAGCTGAACAAGTTTGACCACCTGAAATATTGAGTTAACCTTTGTTATACTAAATAGATCATTCTGCAATAAATCATGACTTATTTCTCATGCTAATACTGGAAGCAAATGACTGGAGGTAAGAAGCTTCTCAAATAAAGTCAATATCCAAATACATAAATACAAACATTTTATTTCTGCCCGTTTACAGTTCAATAATCTTGTGCAGGGGGGACAGAGGTATAAGGGGAAAATGAATGTTCACCTGCAGCTTAAAGAGGAGAAGCTGCAGCTCTTCCTGGTTTTTACATCTCTTCCCCATAATTTGCATACCGTCACCAAATAAAACTGGGGAAGGCATGCAATGCATGTAATTTCTTCTTCTAACACCAGAGCTTATTACCTAAATCTCTTTAGGTGTCTTTTTCAAACATATTTCCCTTCATCAAGTATTCATACCTGTTAGACCTTTGCACTGGTTGTCAATTTACAAAACAAAAAACTTCAGTTTGCTTAGTTAGGATTTGATTTTATTGGACCAAAGCACAATATAATAAACCTGCAGTTAGATAATGCACGGTTGATACTCCCTGTGTCCGTTTTTTTAATCTCAGTACAAATACAAGTGTTCCTTTAGGATTTAAACATGAAAAAATAAAGGTCCATCCAGACAAACTGTTTTTCTGTCCAGCAACACACAGATACTTATTGAAAACTAGAGATTCAAACAACTGTAGATTAATCTGACAGAATAGTCTGTTAGGGACTGTGTTGCACACTTTTTAGATAGTTTCGTTAACACTTTGAAAATCAAATGCATAATTTCCTTCAAAGTTAGAAATATGTCATGCCCTACAATATCCACCACACTCAGCAGACACTGTGGTAACTATGCGCAAAGTTTGGAGGATTTTTTTTTTTTTTTTGCAGTAAAATTCTGCAAAGTTTTACTGGCCTAATTTTTATTTTACTAGAAAAATGCATCTTCTGCTTAGAAAAGTAGCTTTTTTCCCCTTAGATAAGACAGATGCTTCACTGGGAACCACATGAGGAGCCCCATGACACGCATTTGTCCCACTGATTCCAGCCTGAGAAACCCACGAATTCTTTCCACGCACTCGTGCGCTCATGTGAACCCGGAGCTCCGCAGCATCACCAGCAGCAGCAGAAACAGCCTGAACCCATCTGCTCTGCAGGCTCAGATGACCCCAGGCTACATTCCTTCACTTTGAGCTATGGCGAGCATGCGGGGGGACTCGTTTTGATGACTTCGATGAAAATGTGAATAAACGGAGAGGCTTTTCCTTGAAGTTTGACAGAACATAACATTCTCCGCTAACGTGGATAAAAAGTGCTGCTGGTTCACAGAAGGAGTGGCAGCTTCATGACGCGTAAAGGCGCCCCTCCCCCTGTCAACCATCGAGGAGGAAAAACTTTCTCTCCTCTCACTTTTAACTTTCCTTATGTTGCCGCTGCCACAGTAAGGGGATCAAAAGAAGCAGAGAAGTCTGGACATGAAAACCTTCAGCGAGTAGAGGAAAAGAAATAATAATAATAAAAAAGACTCCTTAGCTTATTATACGTGATTTATCTCCAGAGCGCGCGGCATCATGAAGCCGCTGCTGCGCTTCAGCTTCTCTCCATGGACTATCTTGGTCTTTTGCGCTCTCCTCCAGGTAGGAAAACTTCAATCTTAACTTTTTTCTCCCTGTAAAACATAAAGCAGTGTGGGTTTAGACCAATGCTGGAAAAAAAAAGAAGCGGTAACAGAGGTAGGGCGTTTCTTTTTTCTCTTTTAATAATGTGATTTCACAGGTGTGCCTGCACCTGTTGCGCAGGTAGCAGCTGACTTATAAAAGCAATTAGTTTCAGCATAATCACTCAGAAAGCAGGCCAGATGTTTTAATAGAAATCCAACAGACACTATATAGAATAAATAGCATGGGTTTAATAATACATTTTGTATGAATACCAGCATATTATGGGGTTAAAGGAAATGAGCAGGTAGATAAGGCAGCAAAAGAAGCTGTTAGAAATTTGGCAGTGGATTTAATTAATCATTTTAGTAAATTGGAAGTTAAAAATGTTAGTTAAGCAGAAAATGAAGGGTAAATGGCAAAAAGAATGGGAGAGAGGAAAAAAGGACTTGGTTTTTATAACATAAAAAAATGAGAAGAACAGGAAGGACAAGAAGAGAAGAAACAATTATTTCTAGATTGAGTTTTGGTCACACTGGATTAAAGAGTGCTCTGTTTATTTTAGGCAAACATAGGGATGGTAAATGTGAATATTGTGGGGTAGATGAAACAGCAATGTTGTACTGTAAAAACTATGAGGAGGAGAGACAGCAATTAATTCAAGATTTAAGTAAAGTAAAAGTTAAATTAGATTTATCTGAATTATTCGGAAGTCATTCAGACAGTAACATTTACAGGAAAATATTTCAATATCTAAAAATAACTCATTTGTATAATGGAATTTAATTCCTGAGAGTCATTCTGGTGAACACTCTGTTCCAGTAGATGGTGGAAATGCATCAACCTGTTGTTTGCCAACCGCCAAAGAAATTTTAAAGAAGAATAAGAAGCCTTATACAAGCCTTTCATAGAAAAAAGCTTTATTCCACTGTCACTGTAAAGGAGGTCAGAAACGTTATGTGCCAATATGTTTACCTGGAGGTAAAAATTTATAAAATACTATTATTTTGGGACAAATGTAGAAGCCTAATTATAGCTGTTGAAATGCTCAAAGCTGTACTATGAATCAATTCATGAATAATATAAAAAGGAGGTGTTGATATACAATTTGTTTTAAGAGCCTGAGAGAAAATATACCAATAACATGTATAAACAGTTAAGGCTGGAAACATTTAAAGTAAAAAAAAAAATATGTTTTTGCTCATAAGGCTGGTTGCAGGTCACTAATAATATGCATTTGGATGACAAAGATTCATAAACTCTCTAAGAATAAGAAGGAAACATGTGGCCACACTTTTGATTTTGTCTTATTTAATTGATTTTATTTATTTTTTGCATTTTTTTACAATAATTAGTTGATATTTTACAACTGAAAATGGTGCAAAAACAAGTTGCCCACTTTAGACTCCATTATAGGCAGTGTAAGGAAGTAGGTGCACTACATAAGTTCCTTTAGCAAGAGAAGCTATGTAACTAAACTTTCATAAAAGTTAGAAAAACTATTATTTTAAGGCCGTAATAAATAAAATCCATGGAAGATTTACAAAAATGTTGTGCCGTCAGAATGTGACAGATTTAAAGTTAAAAAATGCCCAGTAGTTGAGTAAAACGTTTGGTCTATAGGTGACAGATAAATGTAGGTAACCTTATGGTATTATAATTTCAAGAAAAGTCTATTTGCCGTCAGATAAAAAAAAAAAATTTATAGTTTCAACTTGATCTAATTAGGTGCAAACAACTGATTGAAATGAAGAGATGTTGGTAAGTTGATAAGTTATATATCACCAGTTATATATGTGCAGTCACTATGACAGCCTGCGTTGACCTCTAAAATAATAAGATGTATGCAGGTTAGTTATAAACAAAGACAGGAAAAAAATCTTTGTTAGAGGAGTGAAAGAAAACACTTTTTGTGTTTAATTACGCCTTAGACATTTAGCTTTCAGTTATTCTTAAAACTAAATGTCTAAGTTCTGAGTCTGCTTGAGGTTTTAAGAGGTTTTAAAATCATTTGAAATCCACCTTTATACAGTAATATACAGTAATAATTAAAAATAAAAAAAGCTCAAAGAAACTGAAGTCCTATCCAGGTCTGCTCATCCAAGCAAGGTGGCCCTGAGAGCAGGATGTAAGATGCTAAAAGAAGTCTTCAACAAACCTTTTTTTCATGGGACCAACTGTAGCTCTAGCTACTTGATATGAGGATGTCTGTCTTTGCAATCCTAAAAGTGTAGCACAACATAATATTTACCATCTACTCTTTGTTTACTAAACAAACACTCCCCTCTCAGTGATAAAACGTGAACATTTCTCACTTGGAAATTAAATATATAAGTGGAACTTAAGCCTAATTTCTTCTGACCTAACTGTTATATGGCTAGATAAATCCTGCAAATATAGCCAAATGAACAATAATAGATTGCAGGTCATAGGTGGGATTTAATTGTCATGAGATGTTAGAACCTGGAAAAATAAATGTTTAATTGTTGTCACATTTTTGTACAATTCAAGAATTTTAAGTGGAATTGGTTAGTCAGAATGATTATACAGTTTCGTTCATGGGAACTAATTGAGAAAATGTAGTGCTGCATTGTTGATTTGTAATAATAATTAAACCGATGCGTGGTTGTGGGTATAGAAATATGCGAGAAATGCATTAATTCTTCATAGTTTACTTTCCAAATGATTCATACAGTTTGACTAATAACCTCCCTCATATTGGGCTGCAACTAACGATTATTTTGCACATCGATTTATCTGTCGATTATTTTCTCCAATAATAGATTAATGATCAGATAGCCAAAGGTTCCTCATAGGATGTTTTTCTTTTACAGAATTAAACCAGATGAAACTTTTCTACTTGTGGAGTTCTGGAGATGACAAACTTTTTTTCATCTTAAATGCAAAATGTCTATATATTTTTATATTTTGGTATAATTTCTGCTCTAAATGGGTCACTCTGTCAAATAAAGGCATATTTTATAGTCTCTATAGTCCAGTTAACGATTAGCCGATTGCTAAATTGGTTTCAATAATTTAAATAATTAATTTATCACGATTAATCCAATCAATTGTTTCAGCCCTACCCTCATAACACAAAATCTAGTTAACTGACACAGTTAATTCTTGTATAAGTCTCTAATATTAATGAAGGACTGCATATCTGACTAGAGCTGTAAATTTGAATGATTTGAAAAATCCATTCCTCCCAGGCAGGGAACTATCAAAACAAAGAGACTGAGGCATCCTGGCAGCCTCCCTAAGACCCACCTGTCCCCGTCCCACTGGTCTGTCTAGTGAGAGAAGGAGGGAGGGGTTAGAGAGGTTGAGAATGGCATGTGAGGAGATGTGTGACCAACAAAAAGGGGTCAGGAATGGAATGAGGTGCCGCTCAGTCCCCTTTTTAGCCAAATCTGGGCCGGAGCCAGTAGGATCATCAAACCAGTACTCTGTGTTTTTGGCTAAAATAACCGGTATGGAATCTGTTTTTTCAGATGCATTTAGAAGCAGAACTTCAGCATTAATGTGAAAGCTGATAAGGATTGCCTTAGTTTCTGTAGTAGGACAAATTATCCCCTTTTCTTTAAGACATTAAGGTTGAAACATCCCAAAAAACAACTTTGGCTTTTTATTTCTAACTGGTTTATGTGGGACATGACTAGACGTAGATCTGTTTCCTCCAGTTGTATGAAGCATAGAGTTGAGTAGACATGAAAAAGGGCTGCTACGCTCTTAGATCTTGTTCAAATATCATGAAACTACAATTATAAAGCAGGCCCGTCGTGGCCCAGTCAGTTGACCCAATAAACTCAAATCCGTCAACAACAATGTATTAGCTGCTGTTTAAGACAACTTCTCTTTGTAGTAAAAAAAAAAAAAAAAACAGCTCCATTTGGAGCTGCATAGTTAAAGTTCTGTACAAGAGATGGATTTAAAAAGGATGTGACCCTAATCTGATACTCTGTTCTCCTTCCCCCTCATCATTCAACACCTGTGTTCATCAGCATGGAACCTCTCTTAAATGTCAGGAAAGGTGACTTAAACAAATGTGGAACTGACTTGTCTGGGACTCGCTTATCTAGAAACATAAAATGGAACAAATATTTTCATCAACAAAAAGGCAGTGTTTTTCCTCACATCGTTTCATATGAAGTTATGGAAACTGACTAGTTTATCTAATTGGAAATTCAGCCTCTGTGTCACATCAATGCAGGCTTTCGATTTTACAAAACAAACAACTCCACATTCAGTTAATTTTTAATTTATATTTAAGGAATAATGACATCCTTTATTTCCTTGCATTCATAGCAGATACATTTTTTTTTACAGGTTTATCCAGGTAATAGCTGTAAAATGTGTGAAGGACAGCTTCAAAGTTTACAACGTATTGTTTCCTATTAAATTCTTGAAAATCATTGAGCATCGATCTACATGGTCTGTTTATCTAATTGTTAATCTTATAAACTTCCTCATCCCTGAAAATTCCCCAACTGATCCAAAGATGTGCTGTCTTCCTGGACTATGCACCTTTTCACCTTAAAAAAAAACCCAAAGTACTAAATTATTACCCCACTCAGCTCAGAATAGTTCTTATTTTTTAGGTTCACTGGATTCTCTCCCATTATCTGAGCCTATGACACAATACATGTATTTTTTTGGTGGGGAAGTGAAAATGCAGCGTACCATTCATTCAATCAGCTTCTAAGAAGACTGGGCCTGCAGGGATTCGCATGGTCGACTTCTGCATGCAAATATGACAGTGGCAAGAACACAGCTGGTATCAGAGGTGTTAGGAGATGGAAAGACATCCAGATCATCTACTTTGATCTGTAACAGAAATACTCACTTAATTCTCACTTGCTTAACTGATAATCTGAGGATCGGGCTGTATTTGTTAAGCCATATGCAGCAATCAGGATTTTCTTGTTTGAAAAAATAGGTGTTGCATTTTAAACACCTCTGTTCCTTTGATGAAATCG